CTTCCCCCACCGATGAAAAGGAATATATTATATAACATTTTTTTCTTCTTATCATCTAAGCTTTGCAACCTAATAGGTCTCTATGACGCTCGAGTAAATCCCCATTTTTCATCGTGGACTCCCCTGCTATTATTATTTATTTCATATGAATGATTGCTGCTGTCAAGATTATGGAAATGGATGTCAATAAGTCAATATTTGTTCATGCATTTCTGCCAACCTAAAAATAACCAGAACCTATAATCACTATGGCCATTCTTCATACTTTACTTTTTCGTGATCGTCAAAAAATGGATACCTACCTTACCTTACCTCTCTGCATTTCCTTACCTCACCTTACCTTGCATTATTATAAACTAGGGGTTAGGGTGTCAATAATTGCTGTCAATTTTGATTTTTCTTCGTATAGAAGACATAAAGCTTGCTGATGCGACAACGATGTTGACAACTTTCAATTAGTATATCTGCGAGAATATTAAAAAAGAGTTTTCACTCGAATGACTAGCGTTTCTAAAAAATAAGTTGAATATTTCATTTTAACTATTTTTATGGTTTATAGCTTTCAAATTAGCTTTCTATATAAAGCTTTTTGGCTTCCTACTTCTTGTTCGAAACTTGTACGTATTTTTTTATTAAGAAATGTACCAAAAGCAAAAAGCCACTAAAAGAGACCATGTTCACTGAAAGGTGTGATTCACTATAACTTTCTGTAACAAGGCCAAACTATCACAGTAGGAAATCGACGAAATGTATCGAAAATTGTGTCAGCAGCCGGCACTGATTAACAGAAGACGTCCGATTCTGCTCCTCGACATCGCACGTTTCACAAATCACCATCCTAAAATTAACCGAAGTTCTGCTTCTCTCACCATACTTCCCAGACCTCTCATCAACCGACTTAAACTCATACTTTACAGTCCTTTTGAAAAAACATAAATAAGTTTCTTTCAATATTTTCAAATACTCTCTTCAAAAATCTACAGCAAATACTCTTTGGCTAGTCTTTACGAATAACCAATTTTCCAATATACAATTAAAAATTTTCCTTCAATTACACAAAGTTCCATCATTTTATCATTCATACCTGTCATACTATCAACTCGACTTTGTTATCATGTTATCATTTTTAAAAGAATGAACTGGCTCTGTTTAGAAATTGAACTAGTTTTTTAGATATAACTTTTTTTCCAAAAAATAATAATTGTTTTTATTAGTTCCAAAAAACAAAAATGTTTATGACCGGAAGGATAACAAATAATGATTAAATGAATATTT